AAAAATGAAGATGTAAACCGAGTGATATTGAGAGCTTAGTTTATTTCCTATTGTTTGCCTTAGTCTCTCATGCCACTGCCAATGAGTAAACATTGGAGATTGCTTGTTTTTCATTACTTGATGGTAGTTCTGGGGAGAATTAGGATATTAAGAAGATTGATTAAAATGAAGTTGATGAATTTATTGCTTTTGAAAGTTATGAGATGAGACATTTTTATTAAGGACATACAACCAGCCTCTAAAATACCTGATAGCATCACATCTGTTTGAACTTTTATAATGACTGGTAAACTGGAACAGTGTACCATAGCACAAAAGAATCTAGGCTTTCTGGAAATGAAAAAATCCCTAGTGGTATTGAATCTTAACGTAAAGCACAGTGGCCAGCAACTACTGGCATCAGCCATTTCTGGATGTAGTTGTGCTTGTTCATATGAGATAGTGACTATTTACTTAGTATTGCCATAGGAATTCTTCCTGTAATATCCTGCTGTACACAATATGTGGTACAGGAATGATTGTTTTGAGGGGCAAGAGATGTGGTAATGCACCAGATGCCTCCATTAAGGCATTCAACCCCCAATTTTTCCTCTCTTTTTTATTTGCCATAGAGTGATTCTCATCAGTTCCGTGTCATGGCAGCTGTCCTTCGCCATTGTTTACTAATCGTAGGTCCAACTGAAGACAAAACAGAAGAGCTGCACAGGTGGGTAAGCTCTGTATTGATAGCTCAATGAAGGACATCAACAGTTCTTGTTTCTATGCATCTAATTGTAATTGTTTATTATAAGCTTAAGAAATTAAAATACTATAGTAAATCAGGTAACTGGTAAGTCAGAAATCATTACCATAGAAATCATAACCATGCCCTGATGAGAAATTTTCATTCTGTCTCTTTGACTTTGTTATATTAAGCCTCAAGAAGAGAAGAGAATTTGGCCATTTGTTGCATTCAACAATAAAACCCACAATAACAATAATTATAGCACACAGTTATTAAATACTTAGCATGGCATTGCACTAAGTGCTTTATAAAAATTAACTTTTCTTAATCATCACATCAACTTTATGAGGTAGGTACTGCTATTTTTCCCTTCCAATAGATGAGGTAACTGAGGCAGACTATCAAGCAATTTCTCCAAGATTACACAGCC